TCATCTTTGTTGTTGTTATCACAATGTTTTGGCCATTGTACCCTCCAGCCTTCATCAGGTGTATATCAATCCAGGTAACCTTAGGGAATTCCCAGCTGAAGTATGAAAATTTAAATTCAATGTCAATCATTATTTTCAGTCCTGTGCTTTTATTGTTCTCTCTCCTTAATAGTGATTTTTTTCTCATATTCTCTCACTCAGTAACCTCTTGTGTTTTAGTGGCTTTATTACCTTGCTTGGAGTGCAATGATTAAACGGAAACATTTAATCAGGGCAAGCAATAATGAAGCAGTACTAAAAATAAGAATTAGACAAGATATCACTAGACATGCTCAGTGGATTAAGAACAGTCATTTCCCATATATTAAATAAAGGGTTAATTTCAGAATTCCCTGGAGGTTACCAAGATTAACATACAACTGATGCAAGCCAGAGGACTGAGATGATGTGATAACAACAAAGATGATTCAGAATGTAAGTAGTATAAATAATTACAAACAAAGTTGATTATTATATCAAAAATTATTTATTTAAATTCTTTTTGTAAATTTGGAAATCTGGAACCAAGAAAATATATATATATTATTATAAGTCAGCATAATTAAAGAATATGTTTTTTGAACTTACAAATAAAAACAACTCATTCAAACACAGCAAACAGACATGAAATAAAAGACAAGAAAAATCAGTGAAGTAGAAGTTCTTGAATAAATTAAAGAGTAGAAAACAAGTAGACAATGAGCGCAATTTTTTTTAATTAAATAATTTATGTTATTTGACTGACTCTATGCACATATTAAAGCTTAAAAAACAGGCATTTATATAAATATATACAAAACAAAGGAGAGGAAGGGTAAGGATTTTAAAAAATATTCTCAGTAAAATAGATAAAAAAATATTAAAGAAACAAAAAAAACTGATTATCATTCCTTGTTCTTCAGAGCCAAACAAGGATAAAAAAAAGATATGCACAGCGACTAAAAAAAAAAAAAAAAAAAAAAAAGAGAAAAAAATTACTACCAGGGAATCACAGATTATATTTAGAACCAGTGGTTATGCCTTCTGCTCACAAAGGGAAGGCTGCTTAGACTTAATATAAATGGTCACAAGAATTATCAGATGGCAAAAATGATTATGGTGAAAAAAATCCCTGGTGAAAGACAATGCACAAATCAGATTATTTATTAAATGTTCTACAATAGCAGAATCAGAAGTATTCACAAATGTATGCAAATTTAGCTCTTTTTTTTGCTATTTATTTAATTTCTTTTGATTATATTTTTTGAGTAATATTTTTTTCTTATACTTGTTCTTCCTTCTTTTGTTTTTATATGTTTGTATATATTTATATATACTTTTGAAAATTTGATTTTTAAAGCTTTTCTAAAATGTTGTACTCCAAAAAAAGTTATCTTAAATTATATATATATATATAAATATATATAAAACAAAAAGTAAAACCTCCTTATATCATTTTCTTAAGAACCAGCTCAGTTTAGATAAGCAAACAAAAAGTCTATACAAACTAAACAAAAAAATACAATAATTCCATAGAATCTGTTGTATGATGTTGATCAGTAGTCAACTTCTTCTTGTCTAACTCTTTACTCTACACTTTATTCATCCTATAACCAACATAAGCAAATAGGTAAAATGCTATTTGCCAATCCTACTACACCTCCCTGAACTGAAGAGTTTTAATATCTTTCATTGTTCTTTAACTTCTGCAACTTCTTTCCTCCTCTCCCCTTGAAGTTTATGTCCTGTTCTTTTTAATGGAGATTTTGGTTTCATTTCAGTCTCAAAAATGTTTTCTTTATCTGATACTATCATCTTGTTCTAGTTGGAATTATTAGTAATATACTATGACAGTATTTGTACATGTAAAATTTCCAGGTCCTGTTTCTATTTCAATGTCCACTTCTGTGAATCAGTAATTAAAATATACATCGCGATTAGTATTCTGTCTGGAAAATGTACCATCTAATATACTAAAAACTTAGTTATTTTCTCAATAATTGAAGAAATGTCAATATTATGCTAACAACTTAACAATAATGCAAATAGTAAAATTGTAAAGCAATTAGAAATATCAAGTTATAATTTTCACACTATTTTCAAACTCACCTTCAACAACCAGCTTAGCCCAAGTTGAGGTGTCACGATAAATGCAAGTATATTCTCCCTTGTCTTCAACAGTGATATCAGAAATAATAAGTTTTTGGGTTTTTTTATCTGTGACCATTTGATATTTGTTGTCTGCTGTCAATTTTTGTCCTCCCTTCATCCAAATAGGTTTTACATTTTCTTCTGACATTTCGCAGACAAAAGTTGCAGTTTCTTTTACTTTTGCTTTCATTTCACTGAGTTTCTTGGAGAATTCTGCTTTAATTTCTGTTAATAAAACATTTATTAAATCAGCTATTTTGATCACTATTTTGAATTCTATGAAATATTTCTAAATTAACTCCAGTAGTATATACATTTTACACTGACACTGATATTTCAACATATCATGAGTTTCATAAAGTTTATTTTTAATAATTTAATCCATCTCTTTTCCCAAAAAAATAGTATTACTGACTGGATCTTAAAGCTTTGGGTAGTAACCAGTCTAGGAATTCAAAACATCCAACGATAGGTTAAATAATAGGTCATTCTGGTTTTGTAGCCTTGGTAACTGGTCTAAAAGAAAAACAACTCTAAATCCAAAACCATATGTAGGCCTGGTAAAGCACATACTATGCAGCTAAGGAAAGGATTGTGGAATTTGCTTTGACTCAATGATTTCAACTATGGTCAACCGCCATCCATCTATCCACAATGAAATATCAGAGAGGAAATTACGCAAACGAAATACTAGATGATACTGTTTTATATGTCTGTTGAAACTATGCTAAATTACTACTGACAAGATAAAAAAAAAACCATCAAATCTTTAATATGAATGTCAAACTTTGTGAGAAGAGAAATTTTTATCATCTATAAAATAGAAAAATAAGTTTTTATTAAATAAAATAGAATATTTTTATTATATTTCATAATGAGAAGTAAGTCATACTTGAAAGAGAAAGAACTTTAAGTCATACATTAATCACGAGTAAAAATGACTAAAAGTAGATTCATCTAATTCATATGATCAAACTGTACATATTTTCATAATGAAATGCAAATAACTATTTAATTATTTTCAAATATAGTTTTTATAAACCAGAATCAAGAATCCAAAATTATTATTAATTATTGCTAACACAAAATAAGATTATTATAAGTTACTTGAAATACCTGTGAAAATTTCACGGTTTTCCTATTTGAATTTTCTGATGAATCTTAATTTTTAATTTAATGATTGAATAAGCTCATAGCAAGTTCTATGGTAATAAAATATCCATCATATACCATCCTATCATATTGTTAAATATTTGAGCATGACATCTTTAACAAAATTGTAACAATCATAAATATGAATGTCAGTCATTATTTAAGAAGTAAGGAAGTACAAATGAAAAGATTTGAAATTAACAATTTTTTTCATTTTACTGAAACAGAGGCTAAACATTTCTATCTTCCCTTCTTTCTTTAATTTTCTCACTGAAACCAAATAGTGTCTCTAATATGTCTTTTCTGGCTTTCCATGCGATTGGAATGGCATAGTCCATTATTTATGCGGTATTGGCAGGACGTAACAGTCATGCTAACTAAGGGAGGGACAAGCAGGATTATGAGATTATTTTTAATGTACAAACTTAAGACCTCAAAAATATGTATTGTTAAGAGTAATCTCTTTTTTATCAAAATAATTACCTTAAACAAATGGAAAATGAATAAGATGATTTGAATTTCCAGTTGAAGTTGTTGGGAAACTACAACCATTGAAACTTGAATGTTCCTTTAGCAGAGCTTCAAAAGGCCAAAATATACACTTGAATCCTAAACCTATTTTTGGTCATGTTCCAGAAAGAAATTCAGGCAATGTTTCAATTTTGTGCCCACAAAAAACTGTGCATCAAAAGTATAGTTATTCTCTTTATACTGCTATTATTGTATAAACTTTCAACTCCCTTGGCAATGTTTATGATTAAAATTTTAATAAAACCAAAACATATAAAAGTGGATTTATACCTTTTCTTTATTCTTCAGAATTAACAACAAAGATATTAAACCAGTGGTTCCCAACAGATTTTGGGCCATGCCTCACTTTGGTATTTCTAAAATTCTGGTGCCCCCCTTGTAATATTTAATTCTTACATATTCAAAATTTTACTGCAATTCACATGAAGGAAGCTTAAAAGGCCATTAATTTGGTCTCTAAACAAGCCCCCCCCCAAAGACCATGGTGTCCATGAAAGAGAAAAATTTAAAAAAAAAAAAAAGACAGTTAAATATATATAGTTTCAAAGTAAAAATATAAAATATTTGGATGAAAGCTTATTCTGTAATATACTTTGATCATTTTAATCATGAAATAATAATGCAAAATGAAATTTGAGCTCACATTGGTATAGTAATCAGAATGGTGCACATTCTACGCATGCCCCACCAAAATATTACTATGCGCCCCATGTTGGGAATCATTGTATTAAACTCTATTAGATTTCTTATTTACAAGAATAATTTTATATTTACAAGATTATAAAAATATGCGAACCAACTACAATGAAATATTTATTACTTATCATTTTATATAAAAATAAGAAAATAATTTTTTTATTCATAAATTTATAAAAATGTCTGAACAGGAAAATTTAAATAAATGCATAATAATAAGTAACTGTAATTATAAATTTTGAAAAAAATGCATTTTCCAGACATTTTTTTCATTTGCTCTCACCATATGAATTCATTAAAATAGGCTGAGAACATTTCTTCCTTTTACATATTTTGATAATTTTGTAATAATTTTTTGAATAAAAAGATTTTTTAAATTTGTTTCTTTATAAAATGATAAATATAAATCTCTAGAAAAGGCAAATAATAAATATAACTTTGTACTTGGTTCACATATTTTTATAATGTTGTAAATAAGCACTGCTGAGGGAGCCAAAAGTGTATACAGTAATAGTAGTGTCAAGGGAATAACCATCCTTTTGACACACTGTTTTTTGCAGGCATGAAGGTTAAACATTACTGAATTTCACAATGAAATTCTAATGAAATAATTAGGAAGAAATCTTTTTGCTATGGTATTAACACAAGAAATTTTTGCAAATGCTCAAAAGTCTTCACAGAATTCAGTAGTGAGATATAAACAGAAAAAAAACTGAAGAAATAGAGAGATGCCAAAATATCAATATTGAAAACAATCTCAACAGCAAAAGAAAAAACCTCATAATTAAGCATTATAAACTTGGAGGTAACTGTTAATCAACATTTCTCTTGCAGACAAGACAAGAAGAGACCTGTTCATGAGATATCAGGTGAGTGGCAAAGTTTTCAGCACAATCTTTTTAAAAACCTCAAGACCAAATACACAGTAGAAAACTATATTTTGGGGGTTTTCTTTTAATAAAAGAAATGCTGGAAACTTTTGAATATACCTAATATTTAACAGGTTTGTAATTGGTATCTCTTTGGAAATCATCAAGTATTTCCTTTTGTACTAACAAACAAATCAGTCTTTGTTGCTAGAGCAAAAAAAAATTTTCTTAAGTATTTACTGAGCAGGCAGCATACCATGATACACAAGTAACTACAGATTACAGTTCAAAATACATTCAAATTGCAATTATAATATTTCAAAGTTCAAGCAAGAGACAGGCAATTTAAGAAAAGTATATAAGACATAAATATACAAGACAAAAACATGCAATGCAAGACTCAGTAATTTGTAAAAAATAGTATACATTCAACAATTTAGCTATAAATATATATAGAATACAGAAAAATTTTAAAATAATGTTAATACAAAATAAATATGCAATTATATGTAGCACTAAATAAAATAAAAGCATTGCATTTCACCAATTAAAATAAAATAACACGAGTATAAAAAGATTTAACTATTTTTGGTATAACCTCTGACAAACTATAATAATTCATATCAAATAGTACATAAAAATAAAAACATTCTGGTTATCTTAAAAACAAGTAACCAGTATTTAAGTTCTATTTTTTATAAACGACTGTGATTAATCATAAAGAAATGATACATTGTTGATATTTGATTCACATCTAAAACCTTGGTTTTTCACACTCACCTTCCACATTCAATTTGGCCCAGGTTGATGTATCACGATAAATGCAAGTATACTCTCCTTTGTCTTTAACAGTAATATCATGAATAATGAGTTTTTGAATTTTCTTGTCTGTAACCATTTCATATTTCTTGTCTGCTGTCAGTTTTTGTCCTCCTTTCATCCAAATTGCTTTCAGGTTCTCTTCGGACATTTCACAGACAAAGATGGCTGTTTCTTTCTCCTTTACTCTGATCTCACTAAGTTTTTTAGTGAATTCTGTTTTAATTTCTAAAAATGTTAATAAAATTAGTAGGTTATGCATCCTGTAATTAAGTAAATCATATTAAACATCTACACACATGACAATGTCAAAATTCCAGAATAATGTCAATTCTAGAATAATACATGATTGCTGTGAGAATATGAGTTTTAGATTTATATGTTAAGGTAGCTGTTTTCTATAAATTTTAATAACTATTTAAAAATGTTAAAATTCTAAGGATTCAATATATAGATGTACATTTCTAAAAAAAGGAATTATTCATGCAATTTTTGATGAGGTAAAGGAATGCAACTGGTTTAAGGATATATAAGTTAAATAGAGATTAAATGTTTGAGAGGGAGAAGATATCATCTTATAATCTTTTTTTTTATTATATTCAATTTTATAATATTTTTTTTATTGCCATGTCAATGCAGAATGTAGCCAATCACAAGTCTACTTATTCTTTTTCTTTATTATCTTCAAACTTCTGTGCATTCTTGGAAAAGATAATGTAGTGGTTTTCTGTTGCCTTCTCCATAGTTTATCATCCAAGGCTAGAGATAGCTCAATCTACCCTGCTATTTAATCTATAGCTGAGGTGGGAGAGAAGAGACAGTTTCATGTGTTTCCTATGCTTAGGCCTGCTAGTAGTGACATGCAAAACATGTACAACATCGATAGGTGGTTGGCATCTAAACCAGCTCCCCCACTAGCTTGTAATGGTGGGGAGAGTGGCATATGACCCCCACAGGATGAGAAACAAAACCTACCATCAGGGGATGAGTTTTTTATAGGAGCCAACAGCCAACACACACACACACACATATATATATATATATATATATATATATATTTTGTGTATTTGGGCAGCAATCCCTCTTTTATACAAGTTTCATTAAGAACAACTGACAAGGCACTGTGATTAAGCTTTTTAATTAATTTTTGTTGTTGGACAATTTTTGTGCACTTTGTGTCCAAAAAAGAAAACATGTATGAATACAAAAAAAAACTAAATAAAAAAAATCTTAATTTCAGTGCCTTGTCAGTTGTCTTTAACGAAACATATATATATATATATATATATATATATATATATATATATATATATATATGTTTCGTTAAAGACATATATATATGGTCTCAAGCCTTGAATAGCAACTTTCCTAGAGATAGTGTCTCATTAAAAATACTCAGTGAAATACTGTGATTGTTTGAATTGGCCATCAGGAAGAGGATTCAGCCTTGTAAAACCTTGCCCCAAATCATTATGACAAATCCTTTGTCTAGCAGGACCAACTTTGCTTTGTGCAAGATTAATCTAAGTCCTGCCTTGACAAAAAAAACATGGCTATGTATGTATTTATTAGCGCGAAAGTGAATACAACAAACTAGCCTAGAATCTGAATTTGGCTGGCTGATTCCATTTTCTGCACTGATATTCAATTACATTACTGACAGATACTTTTTACATTTATATATTTTATATATCTAAAAGACAATTTTTAAAATGTCTGAATAGTTTTACAACGAAGAATTTATAATAACAGAATTATAGTTGAAGTATCTAATGAGATTAAAGGTTTTTTAATTGAAAATTCTTCAAGTATATAGATTTTAATTGAAAATACTACAAGAATATAAGATTTATATAAAAGCAACATTATGCAATTCTTTTTCATTTCTGAAAAGAATTTAGTTTCAGAACAGCAACTGACTTATTTGAAACAAACATATTCAATTCAATGCACAGGTGAAGGATTCTTTTGGAAAATATTCTTGGCATATTTGGCAATGATTTCTATTTTCTAATTTACTTTTATTTTTTAAAAGCAATTTTATGATCTTAAATTTGAGAATAATTTTTCCCATTATAAACTCAAAAGAGTTATTTGCATATATTTAAATATAAAGATATCTACAAAGAAAATTGAATAAAAATAATATATTCCTCAAAAATTACAAAAAGTAACAGGATATTGTCACTTAATTTTGCAATGACTCATACAGAAATCATTTTAAAATATTTAATAATAGGTGAGACAGTAAAAGCTATAGATACAATGGGAATATATTGTAAGTTATTCAAAAGTTAACTTATAATAATTGACTTTTAAATATGGAGTTTCCTAAATTAAATTCATTTCAAATTATATCTATTTTAAAAAGAGTTCCTTTTAAAATTTGTAATTGTTCTTATTAAAATAATATCATTAAAGATAACTTATCATTGTTTATGACAAACTCACCTCCAACAACCAGCTTGGCCCAAGTTGAAGTGTCACGATAAATGCAAGTATATTCACCCTTGTCTTCAACAGTGACATGACGAATAGTAAGTTTTTGAACTTTCTTGTCTGTGACTATTTCATATTTATTGTCAGTAGTCAACTTTTGTCCTCCTTTCATCCAAATAGGTGTCAAATTTTCTTGGGACATTTCACAGACAAAAGTAACTGTGTCTTTTTCTTTAGCAGTGATTTCACTGAGTTTGTGAGTGAATTCAGCTTTGAATTCTACAAATGTTAATAAAATTATTAACAATTTTATAGAGAAACCATTTTTATCATAATAGCAGATAAGCAAATTGCATTTCATGTTTAAAAAATATTTACAAGATTAATGTCTTAATAAAGTAATTTTTCAAGTTAATTAAAATTATGTTCTTTTTTATATGGCATTTATTTTTTAAAGCATTTTATATAACTATTATGATATACTGATGTAATCATTTTTTAAAAACAAATCTAACTGAGGTTATATAATTAAAAAATTCTTTACACATAAACTAAAATATACATGGATTGAAATGCTTTTAAATACTAGTAACATTTTTATTTAAAGCAAGTGGGGCTGAAAGAAATGGGTTTTTTAGAAAATGCCATACTTATAACCAACCTATGTTTTTATTTACTAAAAAAGAAATAGTCAATAATTGCTTATTTTGAGACATTAAGTTATTATTTTATTAATTTGTAGTCTTAACACTGTTCAATTCAAAAAAAATTCTGAATAAACATATTCAAAAAGGAGGAAAAGGCAGCATACTGAGAGATCTTTGAATTGGCTTAGATATAAGAAAATGGAAGACAAATTGAGCAATCATAGGTCAAGGTCACAACAGGAAAAGGAAGGTGGAATATACAATGGTTTAGAACTAGTTACATAAGATTCTTGATAAAATCCAATACCAATCATGGAAAAAGATATTTCATAAAAAAACAAAAAACAAATGTTTTTCATACAATGTGTTCAAACTTCAGTTGTAGCTGTCTTACTAATTGGTAAACTATCAATAGTCCATTTTTGATGTTTTAATATCATTTCAAACATGTTTACACTTCTGTTTAGATATGTATTCAAACAATAAAGTTCATAATTCAACAAAATGACATTAAAGAAGTATAAATTGCGACATTTGAACCAATATGGCTCTCATAACAATACTGATCTTAGTTCTGCTTTTTTTGTTCTGGTCTAAGACCAAAAATGCTTTTATGGAGACCATTTTAAAGTAGTACAAAAGAAATATTTTAACATATATTTTTAAATTTATGCCAACTAAAGTTATAAAATGAAAATCATTTTTCACTAAAGAAATAATTAACTAGTTTAAAATCAAACTTACCCTAAAACAAATAAAATTTGATATGTTATTTTTAAGTCATCTATAGTTTTTTTGCACACAAACATTCATTTTTTCTTTCTAACTCACCTCTAACAATCAGCTTGGCCCAAGTTGAAGTGTCACGATAAATGCAAGTATATTCTCCCTTGTCTTCAACAGTGACATGACGAATAGTAAGTTTTTGGACTTTCTTGTCTGTGACTATTTGATATTTATTGTCAGTAGTCAACTTTTGTCCTCCTTTCATCCAAATAGGTGTCAAATTTTCTTGGGACATTTCACAGACAAAAGTAACTGTGTCTTTTTCTTTAGCAGTGATTTCACTGAGTTTGTGAGTGAATTCAGCTTTGAATTCTACAAATGTTAATAAAACTGGCATATAATATATTCTATAAAAAAGTGGATTTTTATGGCAATATATCATATTTATATTTAAAAAGGTTATTTTGTGATTATTTATACTAAGTTTGGTACATATAGTACATTTTAAGTTATAAAACTAGGAGTTTTGAAACCACTATCAAAAGTTAAATGAACAGATCAATAGAAAATATAAAAAATGACCATAAGAATACTATTTAAAGATAAGTATGCAAATAAATATTTCAACTTATCACTTAATAGTTTATATTCATATATATAACATTACATAAAGATTTAATTAAACCATACAGGAAATCAATACAAGCTGTTACGTTATATGCATTTTTTTTTGTTTTAGATATTATTGTAAGATGGACTGAATTTTAAAACGTCAGTCTCTTAATTCGCAGACTGATTGTTAATTTGGTGAAGAAACATTTGATATGAAAAAAGTTAATTTACAACTAAAACATACAGAAAATTATTGCATTGACAAAATATGTTTTCTAAGCATATCATTGATAATTTTGAAAAGTAAACTAATATACTATCAAAAACACTTAAGAAATGGTGGATTGTAAAGAGGTAATTGTGAGTTTAGTATAAAAATAACAAATTTTATAACTATAGTAAAGAACATAAAAATTACAAAGAATAAAAACAAATAGTTACAAATTATACTTCATAGTAAACTTGGAATTATTCTTTCTCTAGTTTGTTATCAATATGATTCTCTATATAAAATATTAGAGTTCTTAATTCTTACAATTTTCTTCATATTATAAGGTCAATATTTTTCAGATATAAAGATATTCACAATTGTAAATAAATACATAAGCAACTAATCAAAATAAATTATTTTTTTACTTTACAATATACATAACTTGCTTATTTATTATCAACTTAAAGACAACTGACACTTTATTTTTCATCATTACAAACTCACCTCCAACAACCAGCTTGGCCCAAGTTGAAGTGTCACGATAAATGCAAGTATATTCTCCCTTGTCTTCAACAGTGACATCACGAATAATAAGTTTTTGAACTTTCTTGTCTGTGACTATTTCATATTTATTGTCAGTAGTCAACTTTTGTCCTCCTTTCATCCAAATAGGTGTCAAATTTTCTTGGGACATTTCACAGACAATAGTAACTGTGTCTTTTTCTTTAGCAGTGATTTCACTGAGTTTTTGAGTGAATTCAGCTTTGAATTCTACAAATGTTAATAAAACTGGCATATAATATATTCTATAAAAAAGTGGATTTTTATGGCAATATATCATATTTATATTTAAAAAGGTTATTTTGTGATTATTTATACTAAGTTTGGTACATATAGTACTAGAAGTTTTGAAACCACTATCAAAAGTTAAATGAACAGATCAATAGAAAATATAAAAAATGACCATACAAATATTATTTAAAGATAAGCATAAATATTTCAATTTGTCTCTTAATATTTTATATTTATAACATTACATAAAGATTTAATTAAACCATACAGAAAATTAACACAAGCTGTTTATTTACATGCAGTTTTCTTTTTATTTTAGATATTATTGTTAGATGAATTGAATTTTAAAATATCAGCCTCTTAACTCACAGACTGTTTTTGTAAATTTAGTCATAAATTATTTAATTTACAAACTGATGATTTAGCATACCTATTCATTATAAGAAAAATTGAATCAATATTTTATGTGAATATTATCACAAGTGAGCCTTCTTTTCAAGTAATGTAAAATTGTGCTTTATACAAAGTATATCAGATTTTTGATGCTAAAAAGTTGATTTTACAAAAGGAAATAGTTAAATTTTTTAGTATAAATTGCGAACAATATTTGATTTGTCAAATCTTGTCCTCATTTTATACAAATTGATATCACATACTCTTGACATATTCTACATGCAACAATAACTTTACCAGTTTTTTTTATATAATCTTATCACTAATTCACACAACATATTTGCATTGCTTTTATAATCTCTACACTATTTAAATACTATTTAAATGTTTACTTTTAGTTTAATTAAATTCTTATAACTGTTTTCTTTTTTAAGAGTTTTCAATATAGAGTATGAAAGATGGGCAGCACATTAATAGGTTCCAGCTTATGTTTGACTTTAGGGTAAGAAGAAAGATGCAAGTTGAGAAATGACTGGATTGTAAGGTATGGGAACAAGAACAAAAAGGAATATAAACATTCTAAGATACTTGTATGCAATGATCAATTCTAGTTAGTCAGGGTTGATTTTTCATCAAGCTAGCGAGCAATCAGGATTGTACAGCACAAACATTTTTACAAAGGCTAGTAATTTTCTTCATGCTTTTCAAATGACTACATATGCTGATAAATATATATCAAAATAAATATATAGCATTCAAATATACAAATGATTGACAGGTATACAGTCGTTCTTACCTTGTACATTCAGCTTGGCCCAAGTTGAAGTTTCACCAAGAATGCAAGAATATTCCCCTTTGTCCTGAACAGTGACATTGTGAATAATAAGTTTCTGGACCTTTTTATCAGTGATGATTTCATACTTTTTGTCTGCTGTCAGTTTTTGTCCTCCCTTCATCCAAATTGGCTTCAAGTTCTCCTGGGACATTTCACAGATGAAGGTGGCTGTTTCTTTTTCTTTCACTTTCAGCTCAGTAAGTTTCTTAGTGAATTCTGCTTTGACTTCTATGAATAAAATATGAATAAATTCCTTTAAATGAATTTGTTAATTCAGGTAAGTGAACATGTCTATATATTCTATTTTTAATATAACATCAAAAGCTTCTGTGATTTCATAAAGACTTCAAAGTTCAAACTGCTAACCATTAGTTTTCTATATATTAAATACAAGCTGGAATTAAATTAAACACTTTAATCTTACTACTAAATTAATTAATAAATATTTCTTTACAAGTTTCCATTTTAATATATACTTCTTAACAATTGTATAACTTTACAAAAGTATGTATAAGTAGAAGCAAAAGTATTATTAAGTATACATTTTGTAAAAGTATTATTAAGTAAATGTTTTTTGAAAATTAATTATCTTACTTATTATAAAACGCAGATTGTGTGTGTGTGTGTCTGTAACGTTTATATATTGGATCGGATTTCCTACATTTTTCAACCGATTTCAACAAAACTCCACAGGACTACATAAAATTACCTTGTGGTGGTTCTAACAGTGCCAAAAATGGGAAAAATATAATTGTTTTTGCACAAAATCAATTTGAAAACACGATTAAGAGACATCGTGAAAATGGAAGGGGGACAACTCACATCGGGTTGTTTGTGTGTGTGGGTTCCTTTAAATATGGGATCGGATTTCCTATATTTTTCAGCCAATAAAACAAAAATTCACTTTTTTTTTTGGCAGGTAGTGTTTCTTATTCTCTTGCACACTTTTTTCTTTATTTTTACATTCAGAATGCTTTAAAAATTCCATTTACAAGACAATTATTTATAATAAAATTCTATTCAATCGGGAGACTCATAATGATTGAAAACAATGTTTTTTTTGAGTTTGGGTTTGACCAATTCGTAAAAAAAAAAAAAAAAAACCTAATTAAGACATGCATGTCCGTCAACCTTAAACAATAATTTTTGTCAATTTTATTTTTCAGTCTTTATGATGGTGGATACTTGATCTATCTCTTACTGTTATATCCCCGGGCAATGCCGGGCTCTACTGCTAGTTAAATATATATAAGTAAAATCATACACTAAGTATACATAAGTAAAAGTATACATTAAGTATATGTCATTTTTTTTTTAATCATTTCAAAACCTGAAGCAAGGCAATAAAAGCCACGAAGATGGAAGGAGTTACTGAGTGTGAAAAAATATAAGAAAAAGAAAATCATTAAGAAGAGAAAACAAAAAAAAATTGACTGGAAAGCAAGAAGTGAGATGAGAGTTCCACAAGCGAGAAGTGCAAGAGAAGAAACTGTTATTATTTTACAGTTAAAGTTGCTACATGTAACCATAATTTCTATGCTAAGATCTAACTGCTAATCTAGCTCTGTGCTTAAATTCATAAAGTTGAGGTACCAAAGAGGAAAGCTCATCAGAACAATTACCATGAAAATATTTATAGAAAAGGCACAGGAAAACTGTTATGGTGGTGGAAAATTGACTGAAGCTGAAAAGTCAAGTTGGGATATGTAAGTAACAGTATATAGGAATACATCAATGTTTTTGAGATGTTGTCATTTGAATAATTCCCACAAAACATCATTTCCATTCACATTAGCTAGACATATTCTTTTATGTTGAGAGAAGCATAATGGCTGCTTGGTCAATGAATGCCAAATATTTCTTTATAAGGAAGTTGCGATAATATATTTTAGTATCTGAATTATATGATAGGTTAGTAATTGCATTTTTCTAGAGTGTTTAATTATTATTGAATAAATGATAGTAAATAAACTGATAGTCCATGTCAGCATTTGATAAAAGTTACTCTTCTGTCTACCTCTTTTCTTTTGTCAATAGACAGCTCCTTTCAAACATATATAGAATAAAAAAAATAAACATTGTTATATAGATAGTTTACATAATGATTATAATTACTGCAACTATTTTTTCTACATGTATTCACTTCCAAAGAGTTTAGTCCAAGTTGAAGTGTCATGACAGAAACAAGTGTATTCCATCTGCTTTTTAGTACTGACATCGTAAGTTTTTGAAATTTCTCATATGTGACCATTTCATCCATTTTTTTTCTACAAATGATATTTGTCTTCTTTTCATTCAAATTGATATCAGTTTCTATTCAGATATTTCACAGATAAAAGTGACTGTATCCTTTAAATTTGTTTTAACCTCAGTTTTAATTTCTACAATCCAAATGAAAACCCTGAGCCTTCTCACTCCTGTTGGAGGAACCCTTTCCTGGTTGACCTCCATCACTTCCAATCTCTGGTCATGTGAGACTGAGATATTGGGATCAGATCATCTCACTATCTTGCCTTTTCCCACCTTCTAGTTCTTTTCCACTGCCTTGGTGTCTATTCTATCGCTCTAATAGTCCACCTGTTGTCCAAGAGACATGGACAGTCCATCTATGTTTACCCCTTTTTGATGATCTCACTTATGTCCTACTGTTGAATGTAGGTGTTCCTCTTCCTGTCATTTATTAGAATGTTTATTTACAAAAATAATTTTATATTTATAACAATCTTAAAACTAATACAATGCAATATTTATCACTTACCAATTATAAATAAATAAATATGTAAACAATTTTTTATTCATAAATTTATAAAAATTTACTAATATATAAAAATATCTGAACCAACCATAATGAAATCCTTATTATTTACTATTTTATAAAGTTTGAATCAATTGGCATTTATCTGAGGTTTTACCAACTGTTTGAAAGAGTACAATTCAGAAGCTTCACCAATTGCTTTAGTCAAGTTGCTTAGTGTCTACTCTTCATTTAAGATTTCTTTATCAGTCAGCATGGCTGACAAATAATCACTTGGAAGATATTCTTGGCATTTTTACAAAAATTAGCAACGGTTTTAATTTTTTTTTTATTATGCTTTTCAAAAAAAGAGTAGCAGAAAGTGAAGTAGCCCATAACTGCTGGAGTTTTAGACCTCTGATTTCTATTGATTAGGCATCTTTGATCCTAGATCATGATTATAAAAAAATTGGAAAACTAAAACAAATAATCTGAGATAAAAAAAATAATTTGAGTAGAAAATATAATGTCTGGAAAAATTATATTTCATTTTTCTTTTTCTATACTTCATATATATTTTTATAAAAATTTTAAATAAAAAATTGTTTTCATAGTTATTTATTTATAAAATGGTAAATAATATATATTGCATTGTGTTTGGTTCATATATTTTTAAAATTTTGTAGTTTTTTTATAAATTTTTGAATAAAAACTTCTTTATTATTTTATGATAAATAATAAATCTTTATAAAATGGTAAATAAAAAATATCACATTGTACTTGGTTCATATATTTTTATATTCTTGTAAATAAACATTACCGAAGGAGTCTCAGTACTTCCAGTAATAACAGTGTTAACAAAAAAACAGTACTTTTGGAACACTACTTTTTTTGCAGGCTCAAAGGTTAAACATTACCACAAGTTCAATGCTGCTTGGGTAAACAGGAGCATAAAATATAATGACAATACTTATAAGCAGATAAATACAAACTGAGATAAATAATTAGAGATTAAAAGAAATATAAGCATTTGTCTGATGTTTAATACCAAATCAAATGTTGTAATAGTAAGAATAAGCAGGAAGCACAACTTCAGAATAATATACAAAATCATTTTCAGATAAATAAACCAAGCCAATAAGTTTCTGCAAGTGTGTAAAGTACACATCCAAATATGCAATATATCCATTTTATGTGTTTTATTAAATATTAGTTATCTGCAATATACTTGGCAAAAAGACATAGCATAGGTTAATTGGCATGGTTAATCAAAGAATTTCTTTAACCACTTTCATTTGTATTAATATAGCTGGTCAATGTTTTAACCAGAAGTAATCATATGCTTGTCATAACCTATCAAAGTGGCTTACCAGAAAATATTGGTGGTGGCTACTGATTAATAATAACTTCTACTGGCATTCTAAACAAAATGAATGCAGAAATATATAAAAAGTATGAAGCAGAGAGTAGAAGTTTAAAGCAGTAAATAAAAAGTAAACCAAGCCAATGTTTATTTTTTTTTAAATAAGGATTGCTATTAGGATTTCCCTAGTGGTGACAAAAAAAGCTTCCTCTACCTACCGCATTATAAAGAAAAAAAGAGAAAGCAGGAGCTTATATCCATCCTTTTATAGTCTTAGCAAACCAGTTGGGGGTAATACTCACAGATTTAAACATGAGTGTTATGTTTAGCATGCTAATGTTCTGCCTACTCAGCTATGCGTTTACTAACAACAAAAGAAAATGTTGCATGGACAAGAAAAAACTGACCATTAACAATTTGTCATTTTCTTCTAAGTTTTTGTTTATGCTAAGCCAGAATAGGAAATAAATACGCTTGTCATAACCTATCAAAGTGGCTTACCAGAAAATATTGGTGGTGGCTACTGATTAATAATAACTTCTACTGGCATTCTAAGCAAAATGAATGCAGAAATATATAAAAAGTATGAAGCAGAGAATCGAAGTTTAAAGCAGTAAATAAAAAGTAAACCAAGCCAATGTTTTGTTTTTTTAAATAAGGATTTGACAGATATGTCTTTTTTATTATCTGATGTAAGCATCAGAAATGTGATGCATTTGCCAGATAATAATGTCATGTTATTACAAAACATTTATTCATATAAACTTACCAGCTACAGGTTCTGCTTTCACTTCAACTTTTGGTTCTGTAAATTAGCAATAAAGAAATAAAAGAATTGCCATGAATAACAGTAAATCAGTGATTATCAATAAACAATTCAATGATCAAAACATTTTATGAACTATAAATATTTTTCATTATATATAATTATCTCTATTGCAATTACAAATATAAAATATTTAAAAAAAAAAAATGAAAACCTATTTTAAATACATTTTCATCATGGTTTTCATTTTTATCAATTAAACAAATATATATTAACAAAAGATATTTGGAATAAAATGTGACCATATTGACTCTGAAAGAAACTTTGTCAACAATTATAGTTTAATATAGAAAGAAAACATTTACATAAAATTAGTATTTTTTCACTAATTGTTTGTAGCTAAAAGAACACAGTTATCAAAATACTAGAGTAATATGATTAATAATGTTTTCATTCTGAATATTGTAATTCTATATTAAAGAACACGAATTGTAATTCATAATTAGCTTAAAACATAAACATTAAAATAAATATTGGCCCAATACATATACAAACATAAATACAAATATAGGCCAGTGGCAAAGGGTGACTTTAGAATCAGAGCATGCAGGTCCATGATGACCATTAATGGTTACAAAATAAATACCTTTATCTTTTTCAAAAGAAAGAAACAACTAATTCCACTGTATTTTTTCTTACCCACTCAATTGTAACCTTTCACTATTTAAGTTCTCTGTGCCTGTGCATAAAACTAGAACAGGAATGGTATACAGAAGCAGGGGTCTTCTCTGCTTACACTACTAAATTAATTTGTTCACAGTTTATCCTAAGAATTGAAGGAATGGAGATTTTTTAAAATTATCACAAGTGCAAGGAGAATAGTAAAAATGGTCAATAATTAATTTTATTACCCCAAAATTATCCATCCTGCAAAAAAAAAAATCTCAAGCATACAGTTGCATACATGTACCCTTCACCACTGGTATTAGTTGGTTACATATACTTCTATGGTTACATTTTTTAATACATATACATACAGAAATACAAACATGATCTATACATAGATCACATATATAATATTAACATAAATAAGCAAATATAGTGACTTAGTACATAAATACAGATATTGATTATATATATACATGATGAATACATATACATACAATAATACATACAATGGTTCAACTGATAGACTGAGTTTTACGGTAGAGATTTAGGCACATTGAAGAAAAAAAAAGAAATGAAAGCAGACGATAACTGTAAGAAAAAAAGGGTATAAACATGCTAGGGTTAGTTATATTTTGTATTTACACCATGCATGATTCTACAATGTTTATGATAATATTAAAAATTCCTGTTTCCAGAGAAAAATTATGAAATAAAAAAGTGAAATAACTGTAAAATATAATCTGGTGAACTATAAAATCAATAAAGTAAATGCAGCATTTGGAAAACCAAAATACTTTAATACTAAATAAAATATCTTCCTTATAACAAAGTCACACACAGGGCCAGATTATGACCTTTTAGGACCCTTAGACTAATAAGACACCTCTGGAGACCAATATGGTGGTGGTATAACATTTCCTGATGCACCAAGCTAGGAGTTTATATGCCACTGAGATGTGGCCCCTCAATAAGATCATCACCTTTTGTGTCTATGGCTTTGAATCCTGTGCCTTCAGGAGTATCAAGGCCATTGGAAGTATATTGTTCACTAGGACCCCTTGCAGATTAATCTGGTGCTGGAGGATGTTCTGACATTCTACCAAGGCTGTGAGAGCTGGAGAGACAAGTCAGCTCTTGTGGGCTCAACTCCTTCCCGGTATGATATTTAGCAGCAGCATTAACAATTTTTTGAGAATAACAATGACTTTTTTTTTTTCAGATACAAGGACTATAATTTAATCCATAACTAGGAGGAGAAAATGGATTCATGCCTTTCTTAAGGTTATTTGTGTATAAGTGAACATGTTGAACCTGACTGGAATTCAAATTTGTCTCTCTCTGATTTCTCATTTCAAGTCACTATCCATTACACCCCCCATACAGAGTTTATTACACAATTTACATATTAACAGATAGTTCAAAAGAACAAGACAGCATTACATGCAATTATATAAAGAGCAATCATTTGTGTTCACTGGATGATTGTTTGAATTTGCTAATAATTGTTTCTGCCTCTGATTCATCTAACAAATCCTTCTCAATGGTTAGCAACATGTATGATTCCAAATTCTCCTCAGATATCAAATTTCTTAACCTTGTATTGATGATCTTTAGTTTTGAAAATGTCCTCTCACATTGGACTTGAGTAACTGATAGTGTGTAAATGACTTTATAAAGTTCTTATTCCTTTTTATTACTAAAACAATTGTCTTTGTTTCCTTCTTTATTGTATCTTTATTCGATATAGAGGCCCACACTATCAGGGACCCACTTACCATTGAGCACCCGCCACTGAGGTTATCATTTTGCTTTTGAAAAAAAGAATGCAGAGAGACAGAAAAACATGTTGACAAACAGAGAGACAATAAGCTTTTTTATAACGATACCAACACTTTTTTTTAAACCTTTAGACATTGCACAATACTGGTTTTACTTCTCATTTCGACACACTCACCTCCAACAACCAATTTAGCCATAGTTGAAACATTACGATAATTGCAAGAATACTCTCCACTGTCTTCTTCAGTAACATCACGAATAATAAGTTTCTGGACTTTCTTATCCGTGAGCATCTGATACTTTTTATCTGCAGTCAATCTCAGTTGTTGCTCTCCTTTCTTCCAGACTGGTTTTAAATTATCATCATTCAATTCACAAATAAATGTGACTGTTTCATAGTCTTTGGCCCTGATCTCAGAGAGTTCCCTAGTAAATTCTGGTTTAAGTTCTACAAATGTTAACAAAATGCAAAGATTATGGCGCACAAAAGTATAAACTTCAAGCACAGAACAAGCGCAAGCAAATGCACATTGTTTTCTTAGTATAGACAAGCGCAATTTCCCCATGAATATTATAAGATCTTCTGAATATAAGTTTATTAAATGATCTTACTAAGTGGTATTTGATAAAGTATCCAATTAAAATTGAGTTAGTCATGTGAAATATTTAAAAATAGTAAAAATGCCCTTAAAATAAATGATACAAAGAAAGGTTAGATAATTTCTACTGAAAATTGAATTATAAATTATCTAAGTAAACATGAGATTTATTTATTGAATAAATTCATATAATATAAAATTTGTATTCACAAGATAGAAATGTGAATAGAATGTTTATTTCATTACATATCTCAAAAATACTTTTAAATTAAATGTTAAGCACATTTCACTTCTTCTATAAATTGACTGAAAAATTGTTTTTTGTATGAATTAATTAATGGAAGATTTTTTTTGAGCCAACATTAATTCATTATTATGTAAATCTTAAATTTACTCAATAAAGGTGAATATAGAGATAGACAAGTATATATGAGGACAAGTTGAAAAATTTCCAGTTCAACCAAGACAGGATTTCAAAATAAATTTTGATACTTAGTTGTTTAGACAGAAGTGGATCAAGCCACAACTTTTCAGCACATTCTCATATATCCCTATTTTGTTTACAGTAAAATACAATTTCATTCTCTTGGTATTTCAATAAAAGGAAACGATGCATTGTGCTTCATGACCAATAAGGATATCAAAAGTATATTCTTTAAAATTTTCATTCATTATAAGTTATCAAGACTTTGATATATTAGTCATGTAATATAAAAATTTTTTTGATTGGTGCATTTATAAACTTGTATGATTTCTGATGAAAATTTACAAAGATTTTTTTTTTATTTTTTCAAACTGATACTTAATTTAAAAAATAATTAAAAATACAACAGGAATCTTTCAGCATCTAAAATATCTTTTCAAAACTATCTTCAGAGAAAAGTCTTCTTTTATTACAAGATATAATTTGTAGATCACTCTGAAGACAAGTGACATCGGAAAAACAATAATTACCAGTCTAAATTTCAGAATGGATTTTTTTAAGCATATAATTTTCTGTGTGCTATTTTTATTTAATGATCATGTTATTTATAGTTATTTACTAAGCATAGCTTAGATGTGGCACAAATATGGAGCACTAAGTGAGGATCAAACTCAGAGCTCAGTTGTAATTGATCTAGCAAGACAAGCTTGCTCACCACCACAGTGCCCATCTGTTATTTATGATATGACTAAAATCTTTATTTTCTTTGTTATCATTGCTAACACTCACCTCCAACAGTCAGTTTGGCCCAAGTTGAAGCTTCACGATATATACAAGTATATTCTCCACTGTCTTCTTCAGTGACATCACGAATAACAAGTTTATGAACTTTTTTATCTGTGAGCATTAGATACTTTTTGTCTTTGGTAAGTCTCAACTGTTGTCCTCCTTTCATCCAAATAGGTCTTGCATTTTCTTCCCAATATTCACATTCAAATGTAACTGATTCATTTTCTTTTGCTCTGATCTCACAGAGCTTCTTAGTGAAGTGTGGTACAAATGCTACAAAGGTTAATAAAATAAAGAGGTAATATATTCTAAAAGGAAGTTAATTGTACAAACACAAGTCAATGCACTTAATATAAACTTTAAAAAAGGATTTATTTAGAGATGGGTTAATATAAGATTCACTTGTATATTTTGATTTTGGATTAGAGTAAAAAGGATTATGAGTATTCAGAATCTCTTGTAAGGATGAGGAATTGTTCATGCAATATGTTTAGAAATAATAGAAAATCAAAACATTTAATGATATATGAATGAATATATATTTCAAAGTATTGGCTAATTTGCTTATTATGCTTTATTTTAATTTCTGTTTTAACAACAGTGAAAATGGTTAAAATATTCAAGAAATTCCTCAAAATCCAATCAGATTGAATGGAGATTCATTGTAATAAATGTTTATTTGTGTAATACATCACATGACTCATGTATAGGGAAATAGATTTTGTATTCAATAAAAATAACTTTATGCATATCAAAAATATTATCAAAAAAGCAATGTAAAACAGAATTTCTGCTAATAAGGAATAACATAATGCAGTCATAATGAACTTCCATATCTTAAATTGTAATAATTTCTAAATAAAAGTATTTGTATTAATAGAAAATATTGACTTAAAAGAAAATATCAGTAAATGAACCTGAATGTTAGCAGTTTTACATTAGGTAAATTAAAGAACTATCAAGAGTATAAGTTTAAGCTAATTGATGTTTACTTAATATTTTTCACAACAATAGTTGCACTTACAGCACATTTGTTTCTTCATGAAATTTTTTCTCATAGTGGAAAGAAATAATTATTTCTATTAAAAACATTAGGATCAAACTAATGTATTTGTATCCAGAATGTTCTTAAAAACAAACATATTTTTATTTCCTTTTTAAAAATATGAACTATAACTATACAAATAAAATCTGTCTGTCAGCTGTAGATACAAACTACTGCATGGATATCAACTAAATTTGGCATGCAGATGAGCTATGACCAAGGTAATGTAAAACTGACTTATAAAAAGTCAAAAATGAAGTTCAATATATATCCCCATGTAAAAATAGAGCAGTAAGGGAGGTAAATCAATTTTGGTAGTAAATGTGTGGTTACTTCCCTTAGCCATTTTAATAATCTATACCAGTGTTGCTCAACCTTTTTACTTCATGGTAAACTTGAAGAATAACTAAAACTCTGAGGCACACTATAAATTTTAATAAGGAAAACTTCATGAAATTTGAAAACAAGAAAATAATAAAGAAGTTTCTTGAAATAAGTATTTATTATTAAAACTTTACATTGTACATATTTAAGTATGCTTGTGTGAAAGCTGTGCTTGATGTGCTTTGGCAAAGAAGAAATTACATTTCGTAGTTGCCATTTTTGGTTTAGCATTCACAAGGAATTTAGAATCTCATTTAAAATATTAAATGACAAAGATTTGACTTTGACATGGAAGCCATATTCTTAATGTCTCTCACTTTTTAAAAATAAAAATAATGAATAAATTACATTGTTAAATTGGGATGAACCTGCCTAGCTTTCAGAGTGCACTAGTGCACCCAGGTACACTGTTTATAAAATGCTGATCTGTACAAATAAAATGAAGTATCTGTCTTTTTATTTACACAAAATAAATACCCAAGCAACCATGGGTACCTCTGCTAGTAGTAAATAAACAATTTTTTCACAGATTGGTCACTAGCTGATAATAATAAATAATAAACAAAATTAAATCGTAATTTAAAACCTCTTTTTTATTACATTATAAACTTCATATTAAGCCTAAATCTGACTCCAAGGGGTTATGGCATAAATTTAAGTAAGGTATAGCACTGGGTATTTCCTACAGGCCCAATAAGCAAAAATTATTAGATTGAATCTCTTCCACATTGTATTTAATTGTCAAATCAAAGCTTTTCATTTTGTTATTTTGATTGTTATCATATGAGTAAAAGAAATTCATTAAAAATAAGTTATGCTTACTTTGGAAATTACAGATAAATAGAATTTTAAAATGGTCCCTTGAATATTATACTAGATACCACATTGAAAATTTACAAATATTAAATCATTGCAAAAGTTTGTGCCTGATTAAATTTTAAAAAAAAATTAAATTAAACCTTTGTGCCTGATTAAATTAAAAACAAAATTTTAAATGGTCATAAAAAACATTTATTAGTCAAGTAGATAGTCTTGTATTGTTTTTACCAACTGTCTCCTATCCTTCTACAAGCTTCTTGATACAATTTTTATAGAAACTTTGTTCTTCTTGGAAGAAGTTTGTGCATTAGTTTTCAATTGACTGTACAAAGTCAAATGTTTTGTCATTTTAGTTTTCCCATAAAGACTAAAATAAATAAAAATCTGGAGAGGCCAAGTCAAGAGAATACAGTGGGTGCTGGAGGGTTACCCATTTTAACTCTTTAAGCTTCTGCAAGGTCTGTTTTGCAGCATGTTGTCCTGTGTTGTCAAGGTGGAAAATGATACCTTTTCGAATTAACCAAAGTTGGCAGGTAAGTGGGGTTAAGTCAATTTTGGTAGTAAATAAGTGGTTACTTCCATTAGCCAAGTTAATAATCTATACCAGCGTTAAATTGAAGTTGGGATAGTGATTTTCAAACTCTTAGCAATTTTCTCTGTCAAAATCTCCAGTTTATTCTCCATGATATCAGATGGTCACCCCAATCATGGTTGATTGTTTAGTTTAGAATAACTCAGATAAAATCTGCCAAACCACATCTTGATCATTTGATGAGCTGGAGCACAATCCAAATAAACCTTCTGAATGATTTTTGTTACAGTTTTGATGCTTACTCTTTTCTGAAATTCATAGAGCATAATCTGGTAAAAGTGTAACTTTTCATCCTCCATCTTTAATGAATTCATTTATGGACAAAATGTCAACATTCAACAAAGTCTGATTCATAAAATTAATCATGCAAGGTTTCAATCTAGAACACATCAGAAATATACACCAAACAAAAAAACAATATCAAGTTGCAGTAATTTTATATTAACAATGAAAATCAAGGACAAACTTTTGCAATGATCTGATATATTATTCTATTCACCACTGATCAAAATTCACTTTCCTGCTATCCTGAAGAATTAAGCAAATCAACTATTTTGTTTTTCTTTTCATGAAAGTATTCTGCAAATTTGATTTGTAATCAAAATTTCTTCACTAAAATTTCTGATATATTTTTCTACACACTCACCTTCAACAATCAGCTTGGCCCAAGTTGAAGTTTCACCAAAAATGCAAATATATTCTGCTTTATCTTCAAAACTGACATCATGAATAATAAGTTTCTGAACTTTCTTATCTGTGATTATTTCATACTTTTTGTTTGCAGTCAGTTTTTGTCCACCTTTCATCCAGATAGGTGTCAGGTTCTCATAGGACATTTCACAAACAAAAGTGGCAATGTCTCTTTCTTGTACTCTGAGTTGACCAAGTTTCTTAATAAATTCAGGTTTGAATTCTACAAATGTTAATGTAATTAATATATATGACATGGTTTAAAAAAAGGAAATAAGCATTATTAATAATGGCATAGAATAGAACATGCTGGATTTTGAACATGAAAAGTATGAATGAATATAATTAGATTATATATCTGAAATATGACAAAATATACTCTAAACATTGTTTTGTTTTACTCAAATTTGGGAAATAGTCAAACTACAGGAGAAAAAGCATTCAAATATAAATGTTATGAAGAAGGAAAATGCTCATGCAGTGTCTATAGATATGGAAAAAGATGCAGTCGTGCCTTGAAGATATAAGTTTAAAAATAATGAAAAGAATTGCAGAAATAAAATAGATGTAAAACTTGAATATGAAAAGAAAGAATTTTTATATAACAACTGATCTAATACATGACAGGAAATTCATTTAATACCATTCACATTTATTTATTGGATTAATCAGATATTATGTTCATTTTGATTGTAATCATCATTACCTCTGTTTTCAAATTTCACATATATACATGTATAAAAAATATATATGGTTTATACTTTGTGTATGTGTATATGTATTTGGTAAGCAATCCTTCTTTCATACAGTTTTCGCTGAAGATGAATAACAAGGCATTGCAATTAAGTATGCATACAAGAGATTTCTGTTTGGGAAATAGAGTGTGTAAGAACTGTCCAAATGATTTAAGTGCTTTGGGTTAATTTATTAGCCATTATCAAGGATGTTTTTGTTTGTCTTAATATGTAGATTGTGATGGGAATTTTTTTAGCCAGTGTTTCAATGTGATGTGACCATAAGGCTGAACACATTTAGTATATAAATTTTTAAATATATAGTTATGAATAATCAAGAGTGGTCTCCCTTTGTTTTGTTACTCTCCTTTTTGAGAGAGCTATTTCTGTTTACTGGGACTATAAAAGGACACTATACGCAAACCTTGTATTCTCAGTTGAATAAAGCTTTCTTAAAGCCTACATCTGCATACTTTTGTCATTACATATATATTAAATGATTCCCTAGTTTTACTTTTTAAAACCTACTGATGGTACATTTACTGAGAAATACAACTTTTCTAAATAAGTTCTAAGTAAAGCCAACATAAAAAGTTATATTTTTAAATTAAAATATACACAGAAATAGACTATATCCAAAAAGAAAGAAGCAAAAAATAAAATACTGAAAATTAAAATGATAAAAATATTAATATGAATGTATTTCAATACATATAGAATTCTGTTCATTTCAGTAATATGAAAAGACTAAGAGAGATGTTCATAAAAAAAAATACATCTTACTCCATTAAGCTTATTAATGCTGTAAAAAGAAAATTTGTAATCAGTACTATTAGTAATAAGTATTAGAATTATATCTATCATTATTATAATAAAAAGTGATTAACAAGCATAAATTCACACTTACCTTGTACATTCAGCTTGGCCCAAGTTGAGGTTTCACCAAGAATGCAAGAATATTCCCCTTTGTCTTGAACAGTGACATTGTGAATAATAAGTTTCTGGACCTTTTTATCAGTGATGATTTCATACTTTTTGTCTGCTGTCAGTTTTTGTCCTCCCTTCATCCAAATTGGCTTCAGGTTCTCCTGGGACATTTCACAGACAAAGGTGGCTGTTTCTTTTTCTTTCACTTTCAGCTCAGTAAGTTTCTTAGTGAATTCTGGTTTGACTTCTGTTGATAAAAATCAAGGAAAAATATGATCTTGCAGACAATAGCATTTAGAACTCCTTTTCATGAAAATAAATAACCAGCATTTGAATTCTAACAGCTTGATTTTATATAAAATAAAACAATTAATCTGAATTCAGTAAAAATAACAAAAACTTAAATTGTTAGCCTTTATTCAATTATAGAGGGTGCGATGGATAAATTTTCATGTAGATTATGCAAAAATGAAAATAATACTGACATCTCATTTTAACAGATATATTTACTAAAATTACACAAAAATATCTTGAAATAGTAAAGAGTAAATTTATTCAATAAAATCACCATTGGCTTCAACTACAAATCTTCTGGATGGTCTCCTTGTTTTATTTGGTAAATGCTGCCTTAATCCTTGCCTTCAGTTCATCTTTGATGTTACAAGGAGTTTTATTGGTCTCTTGCTCAGCTGCATCCCACACATAATAATCAAAGGGGTTGCCGTCTGGGTAGTTAGGAGGCCAGATGTAAGGGGTGATGTGATCACAGAAATTGTTTGACAGGCATGACTGGGTTCTCCTGCTTGTGTGGCAATGGTGCAGAGTCCTGACATAGGATCTTCCAGCAGTCATTGTCTTGACCCAGGGCAGCACTACCTCCTCAAGGCACTTGATATAGACCCCCGTGTTGAGTCTGAGATCCTAACCATTATGACTTGTTGCCACTCCTCAAACAACTTTTTAACACTTTTTGAGTAAAATTCTGCTGGGTTTGATGTGAAAATATAAAATGACGATAATTTACCCATCGCACCTCTATGTTTATTTAACCATTGTGATTATATATTTTTTTAAAATATATTTTTCACATAGTATTCTTAATATTTGCTGTCCTGAGTTTATATTTTATTCAAGTAAAATGTAAAACAGATTAATTCAACAATTGTTGTATCTCAAAAATTAAAGTAACAATAATATTGTTTTAACAAACATATTTAGCAATGGTAAGATTCGCCCTTTCCATACAGGAAACATTTGGCATTTATTGACCAAACAGCTAGCATTACTGTTTGTTGAAATTTATAAAACCTTTCTCTTGAAAGATTTCAAGTTTGCTATTATTGCTCTTTATGGTACTGATGAGAGTTTTCTTCCTAACAGTTTGTTTAAGACAGTGTGGAAAGTCAACATTTTTATAACAACATTATAAAAATCATTATATCATAATACTAAGTTCACACTTTCAGACTCAAATTCAATTTATACCAATATTTTGTATATTGAAATACAGAATGTTGAATACTATCAAATATTTGATAATGGTAATATTAGCTGCTTCCTTCTAAGGAAAAATTTGGCATTTATTGAGCAAGAAGTCAGTGCTACTCTCAGTTTAAATTTATAAACTATGTCTTTTAAAACAGTTTTTCAGGAGAATCGGCTTCTCAAGTCCACTGTTATTGCACTTTATATTAATAATGGGAGTTTCCTTCCTAACATTTTGTTTAATATAGTGTGGAATGTCACCATCTTGATTATAACATTACATCATAATTAAATAGGCAGATAGATATAAACAGACTGAGATAGGGATAAGATCACTTGAGTAAATTTATTGATTCAGAATTATTTTTTTATGAAGAAGTTACTTGCTGCAAAAATATAATAATCACTTAACTAGTTTTACCCGTGAAAACTTCATGGTTTTCCTATTTTAAATATTCTGATGAATCATAATTCTTAAGTTAATGATTGAGTAAGTTCATAGCAAGTTCTAAGACATTAAAATATCAGTAGAAATTTCCCTATCACACTGTCAAATATTTGAGCTTAACTTTTCATTTCACTGAAACAGTTATTAAACATTTCTTTCATTTCTCATTGAAACCAAGTAGTGTCTTTTCCCCTCTTTCCACACGATCAAAACAGAATAATCCATTATTTATTAGGTATTGCCAGGACACAATGGTTGTGCGAATTAACAAAGGGACAAGCAGAATTATAATAGGATGTTCAATAATTGAAATGTAAATCATAACAATATATTTCACCATATATTTAATTAACAAAACCTGTTCATGTGACAAATATTATTTTAATAATCATGCAGTATTCTATCATTACTATTATTTGGTAACCATGCGAGATAACAGATATTAGTACTTTGTACTGTATGCAAATTATTAGACTATGTATTGCATGCTGATCTGAAATATTGAATAAAAGTCCTCTTCCTGAACAGAAATTTTAAATTAGTTATTCAGTTAACATATGCAATTTTGTAACAGTCACTTAGAAATGTGTATTTATATATAGTGTTGTACAACAAATATTTTTCAACACAATCTTATTCTTATCCCTTGTCAATGTACTCAATTCAGTCATGAATATTTATCACATCATGAATATACAGTAGTAATTTCAGATCAAATTCAACTAATGATCATGTACCAGACCATGGACCCTATATATATATATATATATATATATATATATATATATATATATATATATATATTAACCTGAATGCAAATCTCTCTAAATGGTCAACTGCTATATTCAAAGTAAATTCTATTTCAAGTAATAGACGAAGTATAAATCAAGAAAATGTTTCAGTTTTTCATCATTTAGAATATATATAAAGGACAACTGAAAATTTCTCAGTCTAACCAAGAAACCCTTCCCCTAAAAAAATCTGATGTTTGGTCATGTGATCAGATTTTAGTGTAATTGTATCATGTCTGTAAATATTCACCATGTATCAGACTTTTATTCTTAAGATTACATATAACATCTCTACATGTTGTGATTCCATGACTTAAATTACTAAAGATAAATAGTAACAGACTTTTTTTTTAATTATACACAAACTCACCTTGAACATTCAGCTTAGCCCAAGTTGAAGTGTCATGATAAATGCAAGTGTATTCTCCTTTGTCTTGCATAGTGACATTATTAATAATAAGTTTGTGGACATTTTTATCAGTGATAATGTCATGTTTTTTGTCTGCAGTCAGTTTTTGTCCTCCTTTCATCCATATTGATTTCAAGTTTTCTTGGGACATTTCACATACAAAGGTGGCTGTTTCATTTTCTTTTGCTCTGACATCGGAGAGCTTCTTAATAAATTGTGGTGTGATTGCTAAAAATGTTAATGAAATTAGTAAATTATGCATCCTAAAAGTCATATGCAACTCTAAATACAAAATGAAGTATTTTTCTATAGAAAATTGGTAGAATATCTCGCTATAGAATTTAATATATCAGAATTATATACATCTACTGAGCATTCAAATTATAGGGATGCAGCATTCAAATATAAACTATTATAAGAAATATATAAATGCAGGATATATTAAAATGATGAATGTTATCAAAATGCATTTAGTAAAAGAGTTTCTAAAAATAGAATAGATAATCAATATGAATATAAATAATATTAAAATATGGCTGCATGAACAATTCAGCCTGAATTAATTTAGATAACACATGCACAGATTTTATTCCAGTTAAAAAATAGTAGATATATTTATATGAGGCAAGGAAACTTTAAGGTACTGGGCCACATACTCTAATGGAAAGAGTGATAATCAGAAATTAAAATTTCCCCCAAAAAATAAATAAATAAAAGATACAAGTTGTGGCAGAAATTCATCCTACATAATGTAAGACATGAGTGGCAATGCTGTCTTCATTGAGCTAATGTCATACCATTCATTATATGGGAGCTATTTCTGCCACATCCTGTATAAATAGGAAACAAGGAGAAGAACTTAAAACACACACATATATAAAAACAAAACAAATTAAGACAAACCAAGCCAATAAATTTCTGACAAATACACAAATATAGCCATTTAATATTTTTTATTATTAGACAGTTGTAATTTCTGTTTTTGGGAACTAATTGTATTGACAAATGTGTCATCCTAGCTACTATCATTCGTGGTAGTTAAGAATAAATTTGGAGTAAAATACTACCCCACTTTATCATTTCTGTGTACATCAAATCCACTTTTATGCCACTTTTCTAGAGAAAATCTCAGTAGAACAAATGTCATTACTCAGCAACACCACCTACATCATAATAAAAGGATGTGAAATAAATAAAATACATAAAAATTTACAATAAAAATGAAAGACCCTATTCTTAATATTTTTAATGCCTTAACGAGTTATATTCTTCTGTGTGTTGTTTACCATAATCATTAGGTATTTGTCATACTTAAAGCATATTTGAGGGCAAATCAAAATTTGTCTAATAACAACTTTCCCCAGCTATGAGTAAAATAGCAGGGCAGATGAGGTCATATAGCCTTGTATGGCAACATCTAGAAGAAGGGAACTCTGAATTCAAACCACCTGAAGTCTTTAGGTCCTACCACTTTAGAAGACTTCAAAAACAAATCTACCTCTGAGAGAGATGGGGGTAACCTCAATATACCTGGTGCAAAAGGAACCAGCAAGCCATTACACTATTCTGCCTTGAACCACAATTGTGAGATGAAAGAGTGATGACCATAGTGGCGCAAAATGCACTAACTGAATAACAACTTTATTGTTTTATTATTTTTTTAAAAATATAACTAAAATATGTTTTTAAGGTGTAGCAATAGTTATATTCTTTTATTAGTTATTTATGCTAGTCTTAGCATTTGTCCTCATTTAAGGCACAAACCAGAGTATTTCACAGCTTTTGGAACCAATTATTTGTAATGACATAGGGCATGGTATTTCTATAAACCTTAGTTTTTACACAGCAGTGGTTTAAAGGAAAACTTGTTTTCCTTCATAATAATGCAAGGCTGCATACAGCAAGAATAACAATTTTGACCTTGGCTGACCTGTTCTATCCAACTGACTATATTTACCTTGACCTTGCACCAACTAATTCATCAGTTATGTGCCATGCATGATACATGCATAGACAATCATGTATCTTTCAATACATGACTGATGAGGCAGATTTTTTCCCACAGAAGGTTGCCATTTCTTTCTGCAGTAGACCAGTTGCCATGCAAGTCTATAGAACTTGGTCTGTCCTGCTGCTTACCCATAACTGGGGGGAGAAGAGGATTTATACCTTTCCCAAGGATATTAGCATGTAAGTGAATGTAATGGATTTGACTGGAATTTGAACTCAGCTCTCCAATTCCTCAATCTGAGCCGCTATTCATTACTCCACCGTGCCAAACTAATTATTACCAATTGCAATTGCTTCAAAATACTATAATGGGGAAAATTTAATGAAAACCAAATACAAAAGTTCATAAAAAACTTTTTCACACCAAACCCAGCAGAATTTTACTCAAAAAGTGTTAAAAAGTTGTTTGAGGAGTGGCAACAAGTCATAATGGTAAATATATAATTGAATAAAAAATAATTGTACTTTATTTTTTGAAGAATAAAATGGAGGGAAAAAAATGGAAATTATGATTCAATCTATAATCAAGGTAATATATCTATCAAGTTAATTAGTATGGTTAATCAAGATATTACTTTAACCCAGTGGTTCCCAAATGGTGCAGCACACCTCATAGGTGTGGTAAGAAAGGATAGCAGGTGAGACAGAATGAATGAAACATATTCAAAGATTTAAAAACAGTTTTAAAAAATGCATACACCAAAAATATGATTTCATAAATAATTATTGACTGATTATCACTGTGATATTTTTGTATTATATCAAATATTAAGACTTGGGTCTGCAAATTGGAGGAAAGAGTCATCAATGATAAGGTTCTGACTTCACATTCGCGGTTATCTCCCCTTAATCCTCTCTCTTTTTTTTTTATTACATAAAATTTGTTGAGACATGAGAAAATTTTAAAATGTGGCCCAGAGAAAAAAAAGTTTGGGAACCACTGCTTTAACCATTTATCTTGGTATAAACAGGATTGGTCAGTGTTTTAATTCCTAAGAAACGAGAATATAAATATAAAATATATGTTTATTACAACCATACCCATTACCTAAGTCTATTTGTGTGCTCATAAAACCAATGTTACATAATGGTATACATATTTATTAGCCAGAAAATATTGGTGATTTTTTTCTGCATATAAGATGCAAATGGATACAAATTAATAACAACTACTACAGGCATTCTATACAAAATAGATGCAGAAATATATAAAAATAAAAAACTAACAGGAGGATAACTTCAATAAAGAGTGAACCTATATATATTAGGAAAATTAATGACAAAGTGGAAAAAATTTTTTTGTGTGACATGTTTCATTCTTAGGATTTCATCAGACAAAAGTCTAGGTGTATAGTCTTGCCAATTTACTTCAGTTTCTTTTTGTTTTCCAATATGTTTTTATCACTTTTATTATTAAGTATCCCATCTTGTGATGATAGAGGATCTGCTAAGAAAGGTGAAATGCAGGCACAATTTAGCATGAATGGTCTATCAACTAAACAACTTTATATACACTTTTATGTTCATAAAATGCTTTTAAGTGGCATTTTTTGAATTGAAATTATAGACACTCATTATGGTAACTAATGTAGTGAGTGTGCTGTTTCATAAAAGATCCCTTTTGTGTGCATTGGTTTATACCAACGGCTTCCCATACTTAATACTTCTCGAATTCATTCTCACATGGTCATGTGTGACATCATTAGCTGCAGTGCGATTTTCGCTTCCAGCGTCTTATATTCATGCATTTATCGTTGCTTGGAAATCATCCATGTAAACAGAAACAGACTATCATCACATTCTTGTCCATGTATTGCTTAATGTATTGTACTGTAATTTTCATCTTTGATAATAGCTTATGTAAGCCGAAAGCTTAGATTGGATTAAAAAAATATGTATCAATATTGTGATTTTCTTTCTTCGTTTAATGATAATGTTATTAAGCTTTATATATATATATATATATATATATATATATATATACATACACACACACACACACACCTGAAAAGAATTTATCTAAGCTTAATATAAAATTTGTTACTACTACTTCCAAGATAACAGAAGAATTAATGCAAAACAAAATAACAAACTAGAACTTAAAGGAGGAATTAACTATCACTTGTAATGATTGCCACAAGGAATACATAGGAGAAACCTCAAGGAATTTAAATAAAAGATTATGTGAACACAAAAGGGTATTTTACAAAACAATACATGCAAGGCATCAGTTGATGTAATGAGTCTGATCATAATTTTGATTGAATAAATGCTATTCTGATTAAAAGAGAAAGCAATTTATTAAGATGAAAATATATAGGAAGGGCTTTAATTGCTCAATCATCATAGTAAATTTACATTCATGTTCTTACAACATTTCACGTTTTCTGGCAGATCTTTTGTCATCACAATGTGGGATATTTAATAACAAGTGATAAGAAAAAGAAACTAAATAAAATCAGATAGACTATATATAAAAAAAATAAACATTTTCAGCATCTCCTCTCCTTCATGTGCATATTTAGTTGCATAAGTATAAACATCACGTTAGTCTGATGATGTCTTAATGGACAAAACATGGCACACAAAACCTTTCTCCACTTTGTCATAGATTTCTCTAAAATTGTTCTTGATACATATATTTTTATGTATCATTTTACCATATATATATATATATATATATATATATATATATATATATATATATATATAGAGAGAGAGAGAGAGTGAGAGAGAGAGAGATTCACTTTTATATAATTTACAGGCACTTGGTAGCTATGTCTTTTTTATTATCTGATATAATCATCAAAAATGATGCATTCACCAAGCAATAAGGATATTTTTTATATGACATTAGTACAAGTAAACTTACTAGGTTCTGGTACTGCTTTTACTTTTCTTTCTTCCTCTGTACAACAGCAAAGAAAATAAAATATCAGTTGTTTGCCAATAAATACAACTTTAAAAAATACAATGCAATAAGAAGCTTCACAACAAATACCTTGAAATAACAAATGATAATAATAATTGTAAAATAAATATATATTTTCCTAATCTATAAAAATGAAATAAAATAACTTCTAGATAATACTGACTGTTTCTAACTTATCTCAAAAATAATTCTGACCAAAATTAAGATGTTAGTATAATTGCAGGAATATTCTTCCATTAACTGCAATGATAATATAAATAAGTTCTGGACTTTGTTACCAATAATCATTTCATACTTTTTGTCTAACATCTGTTTTTGTCGATTCTTCAAAAGTGATTTCTGGTTTTGTTTAGACATTTTTACAAACAATGATGGCTGTACTATTTTTTTGACCTTCAAGTCATTAAAGCTCACTAATGAAATTAGTTTTTTTTTTTTTTTTTGGTTTCAATCACTGTAGGAATGACTGCAAAAACATCCCCCTCCCCAAATATATAGACAAATCCTACAGATGCATGCTGGGATTTCTTCCTAGCCAATAAGATTGGACACTTCTCAGTCTCATCTGCCATATTCTTGTTCTTTCTTGTCTTGAAGTCAGAATACTAGAATCACCTGACTGTATCCCTTTTGCATGTTAACACCATTCTTACTTTGTGAACCTTTTGTCTTTTTACTGTTGCTTTATCTACTTTTTTCTTGCATTATATATATATATATATATATATATATTATCTGCTAAGTATTATTTTGCCCTGTTCTTTTCTTTGTAAATTCTGTTTGGTGAGCATTATTGCTAATTACACTTAACCATGGCAAATTATTCTACAATTTTTGTTGAAAGATTATTAATAAATGCAAATGTTGTACTATAGAATTATATGTGCTTTAAATTGTTATTGACAAATTTTTAAAGTGTCAAAAATATTTTTATATTTCATTTCTGAGATGATTAAGTGTCAATATTCCTGTATTATTTCAAAAAGCTGAAACAGAAATTAAATATACATATTGTAAGGAGATAATAAATAAATTTTTATATATCAAGAACAATCTTGAGGGAAAATAATCAAAAAGTTTATTTTTCTACATGAAAAGAAATATGATAAAGAATTCAGTCAGCAAACATCAGTTTTACAATCATGCAAAATTAACTTATCTTTGTAGATAAAATAATCATGCAATATGAATTATGCATTTAATATTACATATGACATTTTTAAAACATGCCTAATGAAAAATAATGCAAAAGACCTTTAAGAAGAATTTAAACTAAAAATCACAATGAAAGAAAATAAAGTATAAATAAGCCATTAAACAAAATACTGTAATATGATTGAGATGAAGAGTTCACATTTATGCTAAAATACAGTGGAACCTCAGGTCATGAATGCCTCTGGTTCACAAACAAATTTCCAGAACAAAAAAACATCTTGGGTGATGAACAAACACACAAGCCAGTGATAATATGGGTATGACAAGGCATGTGTATCGGCGGGATAGTGTCAGTTATGATGTAGCTCTCGCTCCATACAAAGGTATTTTTAAATAGCCTCTGATACAGAATTAACACCTAGAGACCTCTGAAAACATAATTTTAATATCATCTATAGTTTAACTCTCATTGACAAAGCCTTACAGCAAATGACTTACAGGACTATGAATTCAGCCTGGAGGAAATTGTGGATGGATTGTGTTGCAGGCAGAATTTTTGAGGGCTTTGACACTGAGAGTTTTGCTGTACTGATTTTGTTTATGAACTTGTGCACTAAGTACTGTTGTAAAAGTTTAAATAAGCTATAATTCTAGGATCCAGGAATGGATTAATCGATTTTACATTGATTCTTATGGAGAAAATACTTTCAGTCTTCAGGAATTAAATTTGTGAACCAAGGTTCCACTGCATATATAAAGATATAAAACAACATTTCAAGTTGCTCAGTAATAAAATTAAATTAAAACAATTATGATGTTTCATTTTTCATGGCATATTACAAAATGATATGGCACATTATACTCAACTAAGATGATAAATATTAGAATATGAATACAGTTTATATATAGATATATCAACAAAATATATAATAAATGATTCTCTTTGCTAATTCTTACAAAATAATGCAAAAAGATATATACTTACCTAAATGTCTACAAGTTTAAAAGCTTAATTTTTAACTTATTCATGCACTTTAAAGACTATAATCAAGTATTGCAAGTAATAAGAATGTTTCATTATATTTCTTCATTTAAAACAAAAACTTGATATGGTTGTAGATAAATAAACCCCCAAATGATGACAACAGTAAAATAATACTGTGATTGCATGCAAACCATGCATAATGACTTAGCATACAAAATTTATGTACAAATCTTAAATTTCAGTGTTGAAATTGGTAACATCTTTTTACCAACTGAGAAAATTTGTTGATGAATTCTTTACAATAATCTAAAAAAATACTTGTGAATATTCAATAGGACAAATGTATGATATTTAGAATTCCTGACATTTAAGCACAAGTAAAAAGATTAAAAATTATAATGGTGGTATAATGGTTAGTGGCTTGGAACAAGAAATCGGCAAGCCATGTTAGAATTCCAGTCAAGTTTATTCATTTACTTTCAAGTAAATACCCTTACTAATGGTATGAATCCATAGCTTCCCTAGCTATGGGTTAAATAGTAAGGTAGATGAGCTCTTTGTTTAGCAACCAGGACATGAGGATAGCAACTTCATCTCATAAAAAAAGACAGGAAACCACAGTATATATATATATTAAGAGCTGTGGGCCCCATACCCCTCAGTGACGTCAACAGTACTTGAGTGAGTGAACTGTTAATATACATCCAGTGATTATAACACATTCATAGCTTCAAAATAAGTTGTCCTCTGGTTCCAAAATCTTAAACAACAATAGTGAAAAGACTTATTTTGATTAAAGTAGACTTGTTTTATTCAAATTATGTGGAATAGTGGCAATTCAAAATATTAGCATTTAATTTTTATTACCATTAAATGAATATTGCCACTAAAGCCATTATATCATCCTTTCTACACATCAACTCACCTTCAACAACCAGCTTGGCCCAAGTTGATGTCTCACCATAAATGCAAGTATACTCTGCTTTGTCTTGTATAGTGACATCATGAATAATAAGTTTCTGAACTTTTTTATCAGTTACAAATTGGTACTTTTGGCTTGCACATAATTTTTGTCCTCCTTTCATCCAAATTGGTGTCAAATCCTCTTGGGACATTTCACAGACAAAAGTAACTGTGTCTTTTTCTTTTGCTTTGACATCATTGAGTTTCTGAGTGAACTGAGGCTTAAATGCTACAAATGTTAATAAAATTAGTAAGTAGGCTGCATATAAGAAAGTAATCAATTAGCAATGATATACAATTCACATTATACTGAGAAAAATCAAAGGGCTAATACATTCAAAATATCAGTGGATTATTAGGAAATATTTCAAAGGATCATGGAAATCTAATAAACTAATTTAGAAATGATTTTATTCAGAATTGGTAAAAATTCTAATTTTAAGGATAAGGCATTCAGATATAAACTAGTAAGGAAGAATAGACATGCAGTTTTTGCTACCATGAAGAGAAAAATGAAAATGAATATGTTCATATACTACTTATATAAAATAGCAGTGGTTAACATATATTAGCAATTTTTATGTTTACAATGTTTCTTATTTCAAGCAAAATGGCTCATATTATATTGAAAACATTTACATTAATAAAATATTCTTCCAGCTCAAGGTTTTCAGTTTGAAAGAATGTTTTTTTTCTTTTTTAATCATTTCACCTCAATCAAGGCATTAAAGCCACTAAGACAATGGGCTACTGAGTGCAAAAGAATCTGAGAAAAAACGTTATTGAAGAGAGGACAATGAAAGAACATGAATTAGGGAGACAGAAGATGACAATTGACATTGCATTTAAATTTTTGAAAGATCAAAGTTGATTGGAAAGCAAGAAACCGAAATAAAGTTCCACAAGCAATAAGTATGAAAGAAGAAACTTATCATAGAACTTATGGTTACATCCAGCAATATCAACTTCAAAATAATAAAACCTAGCTGGCAATGTAGTACTGCACTTAAATTTCTCAAGTTTAGGTACCAAAGAGGAAAACTGATCAGATCAATTACCATGAAAGTATTCATAGAAAAGGCACAGAGAAGCTACATTACAGCAGTGAAAAAGTGACTGATGCCAGGTCATACTGATAATATTGCAGATTCTTCTTTAGATTTTGTCAAAAATCTCCAATTACACAGTGGAAACACCAGACCATATGTGACTAATATTCTATGCATGGACAAATGGTAGACTTATAAAAGTGTTAAGATAGATTCCGGCAAGAAAAATTGACTAGCACAACAGTGAACAAACTTTCTTGGAAGCAGGCCTAGCAATTGATTCAGTATGATTGTTCTACTTCATGTCAGTGGAAAACATTAACCTGCAATGAGTTACTTTCCTGGAGGTTAGCATCAGCCATGCTGATGGAAGGCAAAATATGTTCTCTAAGATGATTAAAAGAGAGCAGTTTTTTTGACATTTTCCAGTAGGAACATCTAAATATTGGCTTATTATCATTTAATGCTATTCAGGCACATTCCAGGATTTATCTCATAATTTTTCTATCTAATCAAGCTAATTGTAGTGACATGTAAATGATTGCCTAAAGCATAGAGATTTTATAAGTGCTCAAGCAGTAAGGAGAGGAGAAGAATATGATATGTGAGACTACCACTGAACTTAGAAAATACAAAGGAAATCACATTTCATAACACTAATAAACTAGCTGGTTTAGCATCTTTTTAACTTTTTTTTTTTTTTTTTTTTTACAGTGAGGTTCACCTGGTACAAGGCCTGAGATCCACTTGAGGAAAAGGGTTACAGAGTAAGAGACACAGTGGATATATGGGGAAGATAATGGTTAACTCTAGCTTTGAACAGGTTAAGATTGTAGTGATCAGGTAAACATCCTGTTTAGAGTCAGTTCCACAGAGCAGTGGTTTGTGGCAAGAAGCTGCTCTAGTGGAATTTACTTCTTACCAATGCAATATCAATGAAATGATGGTGGTTCACTACAATGAGCACAATATGGCAGATCTTAGCCATTAAGGTTAGAACAGGTGAAACTAAGGAATATACTTCATCCAAGCACTTTCCATGGAAATAGCGATAGAGCAGTGAGAGGCTTGTGACATTTCATTCGTAAAAGAGGGGTTTTAGGGTGGAAAATAATTTGTCAACCACAAGGACATGGAGATGCTTTTAGACTCCATTTTAGACTTGATCAGGTTCTTGTAAGGGTAGAAATAACACAAGGAGTCAGGTACTTAATGGAGCAGTACAGGGAACTGAGCATTTTTCCAGCATCATTTGTGAAGGATCATATGTATGAGTTCCACAAGGTCTGAATTTCAGCTTAAGAACCAATAATTGCTCAAGTCATAGGACTTCCCTGAGGGAACATCCATTCATTGTGATTGGTGATAGTTCAGGGTCCAATCAGAAATGATGAAATGTAACTAGTTTGGATTTTCAAGGCATTCAATGCAACCAGCCACTTTTCCCTGCTATTGAGATGTTAGAGCTAGATCAGAGGAGAGATCAGCTGCCAATCTCAGTCTGTGAAAAGGTAATTTTGATGCAGGGAAAATCTTTTATTTTGATGTTTATTATTGTCATTAGCTAATACATTTACTTTCAAAACCTTGTATATTCATTGCACATATTGGAAAATTTACCCAACTAGTCAAATAAAATAAAAGTTTTAAAGAAATCTTCAACTACTTATAGTAATGCATATATGCCTTTATTCAAATAATTTAAAAATATTTTTGAATAATTTCTTTAAACTCATATTAAATACTTCATTATTTTTATCATAGTCACTTCAAGCAAGAAACTTGACTCAAATTGAAGTTTTACCATAAATGAATGTATACTATGCATTATGGATACATTGCTGAACTATCCTTTCTTTATCCAAATAGGTTTCAGATCCTCATACAACATATCACTGGTAAAGTATCACCAGCAATGTCGTCTGCTTTCATTCAGGTTTCACTGAGTTTGTTCATGAATTAAGGCTTAGATGAAATTAATAAATTATATATCCTACATTTTATTCTTTTTAAAATTTTATTCCTTTGAAAATACAGGTTGTCTGTGATTTACGACTATTCAACTTTATAACCATGACCACAAATTGGTATGTCTGGCTATCTGGCCATGACTGCTCCATGTCTGGCAGCATGAGTGTTTCTAAGCTTGGTGTACAATGATTCACAATCAAGCCCCAGTGGCTAATAAGAAATTTTGTATTTGTATATATTTTGATGCTTTACAAGTCAAATGCTTGATTTTTGCAACTGTATTTTTTTATGTTCATCAAACATTAAACTAACTTAACTGTAGCATGCAATGTTTGACTTAAATCTGACAAATATAAAAATAAGAAACAAAACAATGTGTAGAGTGATTATACAAATGGTATCAAATGTAAAGAAACCATAAAAATTATTAAAAATTCAATAATGCCTAAAGAAAGATAAAAAGATTGCAAAATGAATTACAAGCTAAATTACGACCTGTTGTAATCAATCATGGTCATAAATCGATGACGACCTGTATTAATATTTATATTATGATAAAAGAATGGCACTTCTGTAATGGTTAGCAAATTTGTCTCACGAGATCAATTATGATTGAATAGTGAGTTTGATTCTTTGATTTTCCCTGGGTGCTCCAAACTTTCGTCCTTGTGCCACATCTAAGCTACGCTTAGAAAATTAGAGGACACTTCTACCTGGTGTAATGGTTAGCAAGCTTGTCTTACTAGATCAATGACTGAATAGTGAGTTCAATCCTCACTGGGTGACCCATAGATTCAGCCTTGTGCCACATCTAAGCTATGCTTAGTAAATGACTAAATTATAATAAAAGAATTAAAATTAGCAATTTATTCCAATTTCATCATAAGGCAGAAATCTTAGACTAAAAATTTGAAATGGATGAAATAATTTTAATATTTAACATTTTAAATATTTTAATAGCAATAAAAATAGTTATATATATTCTGAAACTTTAATTCTATCTTGGTTCAAAAAAATATACAATAAGTAATTACTGCAACATAACCATTCTATTTCATACATTTGAAAACTAAGATCTTTCATTGTAGAAAATGTAAAACCATCTTATGAATAGTAGATGTGACCAGGGCTGGATTATCCTTTAGGCTAATATAGGTTACAGCCTGTGACCCCTCAAGTTTTTATAAAGCAATGCTTTTAATTTTCTAGATATTATGACTTCTAAATAAAGGGTTTATAATGTAAATGATCCTGACCTGGCATCTCAAATTCAGTAACTTTCCCACCAACATTATGTGGTTTCCCTCTGTCTTTTCTACAAATATTTTCATGACAATTGTTCTGATGAGCTGTTCACCTGAATGCCACAACTGCATGAATTTAAACTTGCTTGTAGATTGGCAACTGGGTTTCACCATTTTACTGTTGAACTAGCTAGATGTAACTATAAATTGTATTCTAATAGTTCATTTTCTCACACTTCTTGCCTGTGGAACACCCTTCTGATTTCTCACTTCCCTGCCAACTACAATCTTCAAAAATTTAAATGCAACACCAATCGCCAATTTCTGTCTTCCTAAATCCTGTTCCTTTATTGTCCTTTTCCTCACTAAATTCTTCTCATGCTCATTCACTCCCTGTAAACTGCTGCATTCTAGATATCAAGATGATAAACTAATATTTTACTTTGCAGTAAACAAAGCAAGAAAAATAATGTTTTAGTTTTTGTCAATATGTTTCAAGTAAATATTATGTTTATATTAATAATTACATGTTCAAATTACCTTTAATAAAACTTATTCTGTTCGCTATTCTTAATTTTTTTCTTTTTACACATCAACTCACCTTCAACAACCAGCTTGGCCCAAGTTGATGTCTCACCATAAATGCAAGTATACTCTGCTTTGTCTTGAATAGTGACATCATGAATAATAAGTTTCTGAACTTTTTTATCAGTCACCATTTGATATTTTTGGTTCTTGGACAGTTTTTGTCCTCCTTTCATCCAAATAGGTTTCAGATTCTCTTGAGACATTTCACAGACAAAGATGGCTGTGCCTTTTTCTTGTACACTGACTTCACTGAGTTTCTTAACGAATTGGACTTTAAATGCTACAAATGTTAATGAAATTAGTAAGTTATGAATCTAAAATGAAAAGGATTCATAAATGATAATATACAAAAAAAAAATGACATTTTATTCTAACTATAAAAACACGGTTCAATACATTCAAGGTATGATATAATAAGTAAATATGCACATGTTTCAGGATGATCTTGCAAATAGTTACTTGGAATTTTTTAAAGTTTAGAACATTCAAATGACGGAAGATGCAACATTCAAGGATCAACTATGACAAGATAGAAATTTGCATGCAATTTTAAGAGAAAGTAAATGCAATATGAGACATACAAAATATTTTAATAACATGATAACTTTAATGTTGTCTCTATAATTGCTGCCATTCATATATTTTAAAAATTAAAATTAATAATTGGCATTTTAATGTGACTTATAATTTTTGCATACATTAAAGAAACAATTTTCAGTTTAAAGAATTAAATTTAAATGAAAATATTCAAATATTGACCGTGCAACATTTGGATAGTAACTATATAAAAACATTGCAACGGAACACACAACACTATATAAAATGTAAAAAAATCAAAACTCCTTTATGTCGTAAAATTATACAGCATTAGTAACTTGTATTATTATAATTATGTCTAAATTCATTAAAATATTTAGATATTATTGATAGATTGTTAATCTCGACAAAGTTAGATTTTTTTCAGTTGAAAAAGTCTTATCATAACAAATATTTAAAATTTTTACTTCTAACCAAGATAACTAAATTTAAATTGTCAGAATATTAGTAATATTTTAAGTAGTAAGACAAAACCTGTGATAAATTTCCTTATAAGAGATTATAAATTATGGCAAGCTACAAAATAATTTACAACTTTGTACCATTTTAGTATGGGAAAAAGATAATACAGTAAAAATATTTATCATTTATTAACACTTTAGCATTCAACATGCCCAAACCTGCCCTATAAATATCAGCTTTCAATGTTCAACTCATCGTAACCTACCCAATGTATACTCTGCCATAATAAATGACATCATTGCATGTAACACAGGAAGTCATGCAAACAGTGAGATGATATTTACAAGGCAGATTTGAGCAATATTGAATGCTAAAGAGTTAAACATATTAGTTATATAGGTACTGAAATATTCAAGTATTTTTATCTATACTCAACTATAGTAAAAAAAAATTTTATAACTTGAAAAATTGCTTCAATTTTATATATATATATATATATGACATATTCATCATTAAAAACAATGAGCCATTTTAAAACATTCTAGATGAAAATAATTTTATGCACATTTTATTTTCTTTCTACAATTTAGAACAATGCATATCTGAAAACTGCATGTTGGGATTTAATAAAATATATAGCTGCTAATTTTTTGTTTTAAGTTTATAATCTTCCATAAAGAAATAAGATGAATTGTGAGAATGCTTAACATGAACATTCATGCCTGCAAAAAAACTGTGTAATAAGGATGGTTTTACTCTTGACATTGCTATTATTTTAACTACCTTCACTCCTAATTTATTCTTTTAAAAAGTAATTGTAATAAAACCTAAACATATGATGAAAGTGAAATTATATATTTTGTTTTGTTCCTGAAAATTTTCAATAAAAATATTAAACATCATTTATTTATTAGTTTATTTACAAGAATAATTTTATATTTGCATTCTAAAACAAATACAATTGTATCATAATTAATGCAATACTTATTTACCAATTTATAAAAAAAATAAATATGGAAACAATTTTTAATTCATAAATTAATAAAAATTTACTAAATTATTCAAATATGTGAATCAACTATAATGAAATACTTATTATTTACCATTTCATAAAGTTTGAATCAATTGAATGAGTCAATGTTTTGCCAACCATTCCAGTAGACAATCTAATAAATAGTGTAAATAAACAATCTAAAAAATAGTATTTATTATTTTTGTTGCCAACTCTCAAGAAAAAAATTTATAAATTCACTTTCATCATGTGTTTAGATTTTATTACAATTCTAATCATCACCTTTTAAAACAAATATTGCTGAGAAGTGAAGGTAGTTAAAATAACAGTGATGTCAAGGGGAAAACTATGCTTTTGGCATTGTTTTTTGCAGGCACAAAGGCCTAAGTTTGCCACTTAAGCGACATATGTATGGAACAATATTTTACAATTGACTTTTGTGAACTCTATTCTGTTATCTTTCTTGCTTTTTTTTTTTTTTGCTAAAATACTGTTTGCTTTTCAACCAAGTCAATTCCTTTAATTAAACAGTATCAGCTATCACTATATTTAGAGTTTTCTCCATATCAACTCACCTTCAACAATCAATTTGGCCCAAGTTGATATTTCACCATAAATGCAAGTATACTCTGCTTTGTCTTGCATAGTGACATCATGAATAATAAGTTTCTGAACTTTTTTATCTGTAATTATCTGATATTTTTCACTTGTTGACAATTTCTGTCCTCCTTTCATCCAAATTGGTGTCAAATCCTCTTTGGACATTTCACACATAAAACTGGCTGTGCCTTTCTCTTCTACAGTGATTTCACTCAGTTTCTTAGTGAATTTGACTTTAGACACTAAAAATGTTAATGAAATTAGTTAAGTTATTTATACATCCTATAATTAACAAAAATACTATTAAATATTTAAACACAAGTTATTTTCACTAAAAGTTATTAAGAGGAACTAAAACATTTACATATACAAACGTTAGAAAATAAGTTTCAGATATAAGTGTAACAAATTTTTCACAAATTTACAAACTATTTTAAAATTATTCTAAATCTGTTCAAGTCAGAAATCTTGAATAACCCATCAATTTGTTTAAAAATAAAGTTATATTAATACTTTAAAAGAAGAAAAGTCATATGTTAAACTTATTTGCTTATAAAAATTCTAACAGGTGAATTGGTATAAACAGTTCCTTTGAAAATTTAATAGCTCAATATATTTATGAATATGGTATAAATAATTTCTATTATAGATTATAGTTGTGGTGAAATGAAGGTCAGGTTCAGAATGCTCTCTGAGTTTGTGTGGTGGACTTATTTGGGAGGTCATTGGACTGAATTGTTTCCCTTTGTGATTAGAATTGCCATAGTCCTTTTGGTGCTCGTTTCAAGCTATTAAGCACTTGTGCAATGCCTTGACATTTGGTTAAATACTACTGACTTTGAACCAGTAAAATTATTATTGTGGTAATGCCTCAACAGTAATAAGAATTTTTATTTAGCTAAAAATATCCATTAAGGAGATAATATTACATTTATTAAATGTATTTTTAAATAGTAAAAAATAAACTGTTTCATGCAGTAATTTAATATCATAATACTTAATAAATTTAATATTAAAACTTTGAAATTTTAAGAGTATCCTAGTACAAAAGGATTTCACATTCAATGACAATTATCTCTATCATCTAATTAAATTAGAACAACATTTTTAAGTGAATAATTTGTAATTTAATACCAGAATTCTTTTAGATATACATATATATAAATCCAACTCCAATAACCAGTTTGGCCTATATATGGTATTTAATAATAATAGCAATAATAATAATAAAGCAACTGAATGTCACCTAACAAAATACTTGAAAATTAAGACCTGTAACATTTATATCAAAAAGTGCTCAATAGATAAATACCACAAGAATAATCTATAAATTAAGTTATTAATGTTTAAACAACTTATATTTTGACCAACTCTAGAGATTCAGTGTCAACATAAATAGACTCTGCTTCACTTTGACAATTAGCATCTTGTCTAATAAGTTTTTGAATTTTATTATCTGTGATCATTTCATACTTATTGTTAGATTTTAGATTTGTTTTTGTCCTCCTTTCATTCAAATTGGTTTCAAGTTCTAATGCCATATTTTACAGATAAAAGATGACAATGTTTTTCATTTCCAGTCAAATTTCCCCATATTTCTGAATAAATTCAAACTGAAATGGAATAAATCTTAAAACTAATATTTACATCTATATACATGCTAATTCATTTTATGTAAAAGTGTGAAAATCAAACACTTCAAGGTTTCACAGAATTTAAAAGGGGAGAGATATACATCAAAAGAGGGATACATTCTTAAAATTGGGGAAGAAATCACTGAAAGGAGGAAATGTTCATGCAATTTATATTATTTTAATGGGAATTATAGAAATGTTATAAAATCTATATGAGTTATGGAAACATAGTACACATTATTTATATTGATATCCTGCTTAAATGAAGTTTCATGAGTCATATACATAATAATGTGATCTACTGAAGCCAGAAAAGCAGCTACTTTAAATTTATATAAATATTTTTTAACTTAATCTCTCTATAGTCAATCAATTGTGTACCTCTAAAATTAAAAATAAATAAATTGGAAGCATATGATTGATGTCAATGAAAGGGATCATATCATAAATAAACTGAATATTTTTTAAGTAGTCCTAACATTCAGACTGATGTTTCAGGCTACTCTTTTCATGTAAAACAGTTTTGAGGCAAATTTTATTTTTAAAAATCTCAAATTCATTACAAAGTTCTTTTCTGTATCTTTCTAAGCAGATAACACCCCCAGGAACATTTATACAAAAAAGTCATAAATCTAAGATGCAACTATTAATAGTAATTTTTGAAAGAAATTACTATGTAAAATATTAAAAGCAAGATTTTATTTTACATAGTTTTTAGCTTTGTGTATAAAGATTTGTATAAATCATTCCTTTTTATAAAAATCATTAACTATTCTTTATTTTCTACTATGTATTATTTATAATATAACACTTATTTTTATTCTTTTAAACACATCAACTCACCTTCAACAATCAATTTGGCCCAAGTTGATATTTCACCATAAATGCAAGTATACTCTGCTTTGTCTTGCATAGTGACATCATGAAT